AAAAAAAAGAAAAAAAAATCGAATTAACAAACAAGTCATCCAGAAATCTGGTCCACAGCACTTCCTAATGGAGGCTAATTAATAATACTCCTTGTTAATAGAAGCAAAAATGCATTCTTTTTCCTTTTGACTTGGATGGTATTGATAATTTAGCTTGCCTCCAAAAATTTGATCCGCCTCCTCTGTATTAAATCTTAAATTAAACCACATGTGGTCAAACAGGAAGGCGCAATAGAAAATAGAAACAATTTATATACAATGTGTACTTATTAAGCAATACATATATTTGTACATCTTCTATACTTGATAAGCAATTAAGTGAATCAGAACATTACGAGTCATGATTAGGCAGGCTAGTTTGGTTAAATAGACTCAGATGAAAAAGGTCATGACCTCATATCATGCACTTGGCTTCACAAGTTCTAACCAATATCTGCTTGTGGGTCAAAGGGTGCGGAGTTAAAACGGATTACAAATCAAAAAGACTTGTAACTTGTTTTAAGTGGGCACCTTATGGTTGAGTCAGTACTTATTGATAGGTTCTGAATCTACCCATGATTTTAAGATTCTATGATAAAATCGAACATGAGCATGCATGATTGAGAATGGTATTCGGTCTTGGTTCTTACTTGGGATTTGCTATTGCTTACACTACAAGAAAAATGCTTATTGTCTGTGTTTGTTAAAGAATTTATCTATATTTTTAAATGCAAGTAAAAAATTACTAATATTTGCACAAGCGTCACACAAATGTTGTCATTGGCGGTGCCGATGAATTCAATTCTTTTGCATTTTATACAAATGCTGATATAAACCTCTTTTCCTTGACATTTATTGAAAACGTAGAGAAATCACTCAAAGAGTGCAGGTCATGCCCATGTTAAGTCCCAAGTAATTGATGTTTTTGCCTGTATTTTTGGTCAAATGTAGGGCCTCTTTTTTAGTCAACAACATTTACCTAAGCGCAGAAAAAGTTTATTTATTATTTATTTTTTGCATCTCACCATTTTTTGGTTCCCAATATATTGCCTATTTGTTAATAAAATCATTTAGAATCAGAGCACAATTAATCAAACCAAATATAATATCAATTAAGGGAAAAATCTTCATAAAGTTGACATTATTAAATGTTTAATTTTGTCATATCCAAAGAAAGACATAACAGCAATAGTATCCAAATGTTTAAGTTTCAAAAGTTGAATGTACCAAATACTACCCTTAGAAAATGATAGAAAATGATATCCAAATAGTACGCAATAATATCTAAGAGTACCTAAAAGCTTGACTTACCATATTCAAATACAAAATAGATAAAAAATGACATAGTTGCTACTAACAATTAAACTTATTGTAGCATTGAAATATCATTTACAAATGCTCTATATTACCGCGATCAATAGCATTATTACTTTAAGATGCATGATCTAGAAACGTTGGCACTCCTGGTTGATCTTAAAATGTAAACAAGATATATTTTAAGTTGTGAAAAAACACTAATTAATATAATATATCTCATTATTAAAAGTCCAAAATCAACAAACAAATAAGTTGAAACAAATAGCTTGCAATAAAGGAGTGGGTTCAAGCTTATAGCTAAGAGCTAAGAGCACCTCAAATTCTTAGTCTTTCCTTTCATTATCAATGACTTATGGCTACTCATTATGTGGAAGATTGAAACAAATAGCTTAATTTATTGTGTTACACCCATGATCTTATTGGCTTAGGCCTTGGATATTAGCTATATTTCTATATATCATTTCCTTTAGCCTATTATAGTGGTCCCTAAAAATCCCTGACTGAGCTTATACGAGTATAATAAGAGAGCAGATAAGATATCTAACTAATTATCTATTGCTTGGCTTATCAACTATCATTTAAAAATTAAGCCATCGCCTTCACCTATACATCAAATGCTTGCGTTGCAAGTTGAAAAACACATGAACAACGATATTAATTTGCTAATCCCCACAATCCACTTGTGCTAGATACCCCAAGTAATTGTTTCAGTTACAACTACTTAAAGTCACAATGACATCAAGGACCCAAAAGTTGAAAATGTCCAAACCACCATGTTTAAGAACGTATCATCAAAATGCTTATAATAACTTAGAATAAGGCCACATGAATTTGATTTTTGACTAAAGATATTAAGGCACCCTGAGAATTATCTTTTTCTTTCTTTTTCCATTTTTTTTTTCTCCTTCATAAAGAAGAAAAGAAATTGGACAATGTTGGTTCGATTGTATATATGTATATATATATATGGGCTTTGATGTGTCAGCCCTTTTATAATCTTAATAGGCATTGATAAAATTTGTTTAATTGCAACGGCGTCGTTTGGCTGTTAAATGGAGATGGAAATATAAAGCCACGTTCAAGTGGATACGGTGCAGAAGCTTTAGAAATCTTTCATGCATTGCAGAATGGGACCAATTTCTCCCCTGAAATTAACAATTTTGTTTCAACTAACTAAAATTAAGCTAAGACGATTACAAGGGTGGAGTTCTACATAGTAGCCACATTTCTCTTCCCACCCACAAATTACAGCCATGATCAGGTTGGCACAGTCCTTGGGAAAACAACATGCCATTAGATACATTTAGTAGCCAACATCCCACATCAACCATATGTCAGAAATAAATACAAAAAAATAAAATAAAATAAATAGATGTTAATTAGAAATAGTTGAAACTTGCCTCAAGGCAAGGCAATGACTTCAGAGTTCCCTAGGAATTTAAGAACTGTCAACTAATTCACTTAGTTCTTGCATCGCATTGTCCATGGACGGCCTGTGCAAAGCAGAGCGATTTTCACAAGTTTAGCTGCCTCAGATTCTGAGAACTTCCCTTCAAGATTTGTGTCGATGAAATCTTCACATCTGCTAGCCTCAGATACTTGGCGGGTGATGAATTGAGTGACCTTACGCTTTCCTCAGATACATCACTCTTTTCCTAGTCAAACTGCTTGTAATAGAGGAGTAAGTTTAGGATTATAGCTAAGAGCAAAGAGCACCTTAAATTCTTACTCTTGCCTTTCATTATCAATGACTTATGGCTGCTCATTATGTGAAAGATTGAAACAAATAGCTTAATTTATTGGGTCACTCCCATGATCTTATTGGCTTAGACCTTGGGTATTAATTGTACTAGTTTGACTTTTTTCATTTATGCCTTTGGTGTTGATTGTAATGGTTTGAGTTGGTTGGTTTTGGGTGTTGGCTAAAGTACCTCTACTTCTGCTATTGTTTTGTGTAGAAGATTTAGGCTTATAGCTAAGAGCAAAGAGCATCTTAAATTCTTACTCTTACCTTTCATTATCAACGACTTATGGCTGCTCATTATGTGGAAGATTGAAACAAATAGTTTAATTTATTAGGTCACTCCCATGATCTTAATGGCTTAGACCTTAGGTATTAATTGTACTGGTTTGACATTTTTCATTTATGCCTTGGGTGTTGATTGTAATGGTTTGAGTTGATTGGTTTTGGGTGTTGGCTAAAGTACCTCTACTTCTGCTATTGTTTTGTGTAGAAGATTTAGGTTTATAGCTAAGAGCAAAGAGCACCTTAAATTCAAATAAGATTTATGTCTTATTTGAATTAGATAACCAAGCTTTAATTACATTCCTATTGCAGCCTGATAAATCAATCCCTTGGGAGATTAAGTCAATCATTCTGTCCCTTAGAGAAATCTCTCATTGACAACCGGATTTCATGTTTTCCTTTATTCCAAGAAGGTTAAATGCTAAATTTGGTCCCTCAACTTTAGTGAGTTGCACATTTTTGGTCCCTCAACAATTTTTTGCACTTTTTTGATCCCTCAACTATACGAAATGCACTCCATTAGTCTTTCTGTTAGTTTGGGCCGTTAACCCTGCTTAGGTGGCATTTTTTATATTTTTTTTGATGATGTGGAGAGCAAAACTTAAAAAGGTGATGATTTGTATAAAACTTTTGCCATGTCATATGTTACCTGGCTGAAAACGCACCAAACCCATTCAAATGGGTCCCACATCACCACTAAGAATTGCTTCTTTCCCCC